TCTGCAGAAACTGCATGCCTGCTTTAGATAGCTGTGCAGGTGAAATGGACGACCCATGACGACCCTCTTGGCTCCAAAGGATGTAAAGCAAGAAGGGAGGCCACCAACACTAGCAATTTCCAATCGGCACCACTGGCAAGAACTCAACAAGTGCCTGTGGAGTCTGGAATATCACTTGCAATCCTTGGTTGCCAGTGGTCCCCGAGTGTTGCTTCAAAGCTCCTTTGGTGGTTTACCTCAAGGGTTCCTAAGGTTCTAGGAACCTGACACCTGGTTCGCCGCCGACTTTCTGCAAGAACCCGTTTTGCATCGAAACATGTTCGAGCTCTTTGGCAGCGCCGCCAATCAGCAATGCCACATCCTCAGCCCGGATGGCTTGGAGCATGTGGCTCGATGGGGTATGAGTTGGTAGCGGTCTCGTTCATGGAAATCAAATCTTACAGTAGCACTGCCCCCAAACAATTTTTTTTTGCGTTGAGATGTTTTTGATTGCCTTCAACTAGACCTCTTTATATTCGCAAGTGCAACAAGGTGTTTGCCACCCTTTACTGCAGGAGAGCAGCATGTCATGTTTGGAGAAGGAAGGCATGCATATGCAAGCATGTTGAACTTATCGCGCTATATCACTAGCACTCTTGGCTCTGAAAGTATACTTGTTTTCGCAACATGGCTTTACCTGACCTTGCCACTTTGGCGGATGAGTGGGAAGACAACAAGGCTTTGCGAGACTTGGCTCGCAAGACTGGCTCGCTCTTCAAATCTGATGATGATGCGGAGGACGTGCCACCCTGCACAGTCAAGGGCTTGGAGGCCAACTACGATACCATTTTGCCTTTGATCACGCGACTCTCCGATGGGGTTGGTGGTTTAGACATGGCGAGCATTCCGCAGCTAGAGCAATCGCAGCTTGATTGCATGCTATGTTGTAGCTGATTGGGTTTGTAGGCCTAGGGCTCACGATGGCTCTCGTCTCTCAAGGTATAGTCTGTCATGCAAACGCATGCATGTGGGGACCTTTTCACCGCCAAGGCTGAACAAGTTCTATGAAGCTGTCCATCTGACACCGACCAAGCGGCGGGTCAAGTTGGAGGCCTGGCTTTGCAAAAAGTACGCAGTGCTCGTGAAGAGGAAGCTGCAGCGTGGGCAGCTGCCACGCTCCACCTCTTTGAGGCTGTTGCTTGCTGCTGCATTCCCCGCAGGAGTCTGGGGAGGCGACCAGGATGAGGATTGGGCAAGAGGGTTTCTGAACCATACGGCTCATGAGTGCAAAACTTTGGCAGTTGTTGTTCAAAGCCATTTGTCCATAATAGTTCATTGCCTGTTTGAATTGACTCTCTTGACTCTCTTGACTCTGCAAGGACCAGGATGGCAATGATACCAATCGACCTGATGGCACTGGTCCTGGTGAGCCCTTGGCATTGACCCAGGAAGAGGAAGATGCTGAGGATGAAGTGGCAGTGGAAGCCGAGCTCAGCCATGACTTTGACGAACCTGGAGTGATCGCTGAAGCTGAAGCTGCTGAGAAGGCAGGTGAGAGTCCAGAGGTGATTGACTTGGGGAGCCAGGAAGATGATCAACTTGAAGAGCCGCCTGCCATGGATGAGCCATTTGCTGAATCTCAAGCTCCTGAACCCGAACCCCTTGATGGAGCTGAGTTGAGTGATGAACCTCCAGCAGGTCCTTCCACTGACCTGGTGGGGGGATGCAGACTCACAGGACTTGCAAGGGCAAATCAAGGAACTCCAGGACAATCTAGCTCGCATGAAGAAGCTGCGGACTGCCAAGAATCTTGATTAAATTGTCAACCTGTTCTTGGTTAGTGTTTGCTGCACCCCCCTGTGAATTTGTTCCAGAGCGAGGTCCCAAAAGTGGGAACCTCTTCATGTTCTGATAGTGCTCTTCCTGAGGCAGGCCCAGGAGGCCTTGTCACGGACCACTAGTGGCATCTCCAAGACCATCCGTGTGGAAGAGTCTTTGCCCTATGGAGCGGACAATATGGACACCCTGTTGCTCTCTGAGTCTCTTCAAGAAGCCGCTTTTGACCGTCTTGCTGAAGAAGCTCCAGCAGCCGAGATCATCCAAGAGGACATGGACCCAGCTTCTTGTCTGATCACTGCATCGACCAGCACACGGGGTACAACTTGCTTTCTTCTATTTCTTAAGATATTTCTTAGGTGTTTTTTGGTTCAAGTGTCAAGGCATGTGCACCCCAAACAGGGCACTTGTGGCCTGCATACCCTGTTTCTCAGTATTCCATCCCAGGCTTTGCGCCGCCAGCAATTCCGCATGAGGCAGGAGAAGGCGGCGGAAGAAGAGGAGGGGGAAGGCCCACGCCCGAAGGCCAAGGCAAAAGCCAAGGGCCGACCCAAGGCTAAGGGGAAGGCCAAAGCAAAGGCCCAGTCAAAGCCGAAGGCCAAGTCTAAAGCCAAAGCTTCACCGGAACCAACAGCTGATGGAACAGTTGGCGCAACAGCTGATGCCGGAGAAGCTGAGACAAATGATGAGGTGTCTGGGAAGGCTGTGCCTTCAGAGCCAATTCATGAAGATTGTGCGCCTTCAAAGGCAACTTCTGAGAAGGTCCAGGCGTCGGTTGAGAAGGGAGCACCCTCAGAGGCGGTTGCTGAGAAGAGTGGGCCCTTAGAAGCCGATCCTGAAAAGGATGAGCCTGCAGTGGACCCACAGATGGGGTGCTCGAAGGTGGATCCTACAGGTCAGCCTTCAAACCCAGCATCAAGCAAGGCTCGGTCTGCCAAGGCAAATGTTGATGGAAAGGATGTATCTTCCAAGGCACGGCTTGCACGCGCCAAGTCAAGTGCCAATTTGCCTGAAGAAGAAGAAGCAAAGAAGCCGGCTCCGACAAAGCGAAGGCGTGTGAAGGAGACCCCTGAAACCACGGATGGTCTCAAGGACTTGCCTGTGGAACCCCAAGGTGACAAGAATTCTACCCCAAAGCCAATGGAGCCATTGGATTCCAAGATGGGCGAGAAGTGTTCGGAGGTAGCGGACCCGGCTGAAGCTGGAAAGAAGAGGGCCCGGAAAAGTGAGGATGGAAGCGGGAAGAAACGCAAATCTGGGGCTGAGCCCCCAGAGGAGGGAATTCTCTACCGTGGCAAGGCAGCCAAGAAGAAAAAGGAAGATGGCGCCAGTGCTCCTGCTCAGCCTGATGCCACTGCCGGGAAGAAGTCGCGAAGCAAAACCTTTGCAAAAAGGTACAGGCCAAACTCAGTATTTGGAGCTTCCAAGTGGGATGGCATCAAGGAGGCATTTGACGAAGTCATTCGCCCCAATGTGGATGGCCCCTACACTGCTCACGAGGACACTGATTTCAATAAGCAACATGTCCTATCGAATTGCTTGGGCAATGCGCTGTCTAATCCATTCTGCATGCTTGGGCCATTGTTTGATGGATGTTGATTGTTTTCTTGCTTTGCATTGAGCCTGGAGATGCCCTGACATGATCAGGGCATACCAGGTCTAGTGCATAGGATATATATAGCTGTCAAATATGCATAAGTTTGCGTTTGACCACCTTCTGTCCTGAAAATCATTTTTTTGGCAACTGCAATATTCAACTTGTGCCTTGTTTGCCTGATCGCCTGGAGGATTACTTTTGGACCTTCTGCAGCACAGCTTGGGACAAAGCCAAGGTGGAGATCACAGGTCAGAATGTCTATGACAAGGCAACGAAGGCAGCCCATGAGTATGTGAGCCAAGTCAATGCCTACCTAGGAAATACTCCGTAGGTTGAAAGTTCGGCTGGCAGCGATCCATAGATCACCATAGACTGATCGAGTTAGGGAGCTGGTTCAAGAACAACCTATTTCTTTAGTATGTTCAAAAAAATCTTTGGTATTGGTGACTGGGTCGCTGCGTGCAATATTTTGGTTGAGGGCTTTAGATTCCAGGGGAAACTCCTGGTAGTCAGGCGGTCTCACCTTGACCGCTTGGGCTTTCCAGGCGTGTAGGAATCTCACAATGCCAGAAATCCCTAGCTAAAGGATCTTTCATGATCTTTCAGTGGCAACCTACGTGCCACATGAACAGTTGACGTGGCAACTGCAAAACCAGCTTTTCTCAAGTGTGAGGTTCTTATCTTCCACTGCTCAGCCTTCCCCACATGGGATCTTCAGTCACACCCCGTCGACACCCGCTCACGTCTGAGGCCTGACTTGCGGCCATGGTTCGAGGAGATGGGTGGTCTCGCCGACTTCTTCCTGCCAGAAATTTCTTGAAGCGTGACCGTCACCCCAGCTCATTTTATTTGTGCAAGTCTCTGGGAGGCCCTCACAAGTGTTAGTAAGAATTGATGGGCCCATGCAATCGAAATAAGGATTTTGAAATGAAACGGAATGAAGGAATGAAGCTTGACAGCCACTGTGCTTCTTGCCAAAAAAACTTTGCCCGCTACTGTCTCCTGAACCGATAGAAAACATCAAGGTTTTGACTAGATTGGCCAAAGTGGCTGAAGCCATGCCGTGCGATGAAGCCAAGTTGAACTTGGTCCTAAAGAGACTGGATGCCCTTGACGCTCCTAAGGCCAGCTTGGCGTTGTACGCTATGCATTTGTGGCTCTAGGGTGTTTCTCCACTACACCCTTTCCAAGCACCACGAACAACCTCCCTGCATAGGTGTTGCTTGGGATTGTCATCCTACTCGCTTGCTTGGATGATGTCCGCATCTTTACGGAGGCAGGTTCTGTTCCGAAGCATGGCTAGGTGATCAATAAGAATGGTTTGCTATATAGGTGCTTTTTTTTGAGCTTTGCCTGACACCGACAAATATAATCTTCTTGTGCTGGAAGCGTAACTTGAATCCCAAACTGCTTGAGCGCCAGATGTTTGGTGGGGGTGAAGAATCAACAGATTTTGCAAATCGATCTAAACTCTGTGTGTTCCCCTTCTTGAACGCTTCCTGGTTGGTCTCCACTCCTTTAAACAAAGCCCTCGCAGACCTACACCTTCATCGAGTTCTTTGCAGGAAAGGCCTGGGTCTCGACGTGCATGAAGGCTGATGGCCATACCGTGGCCTCTTTCGACGTGCTGTACGGGGATCCCAAGCCCATGAAACAAGATGTTATGAATTTACTTACACCAAGTGGATTCGCGTGCCTGGGTCACAAGGGATGGGATACGACTTGGGAGTCGGAAAAAAAAGGCTGGTGTTTCAATAGTTTGGTTCAGTCATATCAACCATACTTACCATGTAGTGTACACATGGTTCCAAACTTTTCCTGGAGAATGGACTTCATTAAAGAACCCAGAAAAGCCAACAGTACTAAAAGCACTGAACATGTAATTTTTTGGGGTGGCCTTTTTTAGCGCCAAAACCTTTACCCAAGCGGTCAAAAAAGGCCACCCTTCGAGGGGTGATGAACGTCTCTGAGGACCTTAGCATTTGGTATATGGCTAAAGATTGGGCATGGCCCCCTGATCACATATCGAAATCGGATATGGTTAAGTTGAGATACTAGAGACTATATATTCCGTGCTGGATAATAGCTATTCCATGCTATTCCGAGTATTTGCGCTACTTAGCCACTTAGCTGCTTCATCACGGAAAAGTTCAGCAAATCACAAACCAACAAAGCTCAAAAGGCCTTTAACATGGTGTTGGAGGTCTTCATCATTTTGCTCAACCGGCTTCGCTTGTTCATGTGTACGTATGCGTGACCGTCCCACGCATGGCTGGACCCTCCCAGGTTGGCCGCTTTGGCAATCCTCAACTGCAAAATGGATGGCTTTGTCAGCTTCCTTGGTCTTCTTTGCAGCAGCTATGTCACTGTGAATGCCGGCACACATGGGCGGACACCTTTCCATCCTCTGGGAAACTCACACTACCCCAGCGTGCAGTTGTCAAATGCCCTTACTTCTCGGACCCTTCGATTTGAAAAAACCTTTGGGGTGCAAAATAGGGATTGATTCAAGATCTCGCCTTCCCTGCCAATCAGTCTTTATGCATGGGTTTGTATTTTCATGTGGGCAGAAAGCAGAATTCCCAATGTTTAGATGTGTTGATGCTTTCAAAGCATGTTGCCCAATGCCAGCACTTCCCTTCCAGGGCTCCTTGTCTGGTCAGAAGCCTGCCCGGACCCAGGACCTGCCTCTTGATCTATTTGATCACTGCGATGGGCGGCGTATGGATTCTCGAGCAACCCAGAAGCTCCTTAGTGAGTTGGCATCCACGGATCAGGCTTTTATGGAAATCCATCCCGAAGGCTCCAAAGTCCAAACCAATTTTGTGGACTAATGCATGGGAACATATGCTTCTGAGATCTTTCATGAACAACCATTATTTTGGTTCATTATGTTGTCCCCTTCATGGTCATCCTTGGCAGGTATGGCAGGCGGCGTGGTGGGCCGCTCACTACCGAGCACCCACCCCCCAAAAGACATATCTGCTGGGCAAACAGCCCAGCAATTGTACACTTCGACATGGGCACTCTATCCCGAGTTCTTCAGAAGGAGTTGGCCAAGAAGAACAACCACGCAAAACCAACGGAGACGTACTCATCTGGTGGGAAGAAAAGGTTCAAAGGAACTAAACATCTACGAGCGACAGGGCCCCTACCTCAATTGTCTAGAAATCAAACAGTCACCGATTCTCCACTCGGACCCAACATGGCATGCTATTTGTTCGTTCTCGAGCTTAGGAACTATACGCCCATGTTTGGAGTGCGTGTGACGAGGCTGCACTCCAGGTTTCTCTCCACTCGTGCTCCGCTCCCGCCCATATCGCAGGATGTGCTGGATCTACCAGTCAAACCTTTTTTTGCCCACTTGCCGTGGGTGGATCTTTGGGAAGATGGAAATATACGGGAAGTCATCTTCTACTTGAGGGGTTGTGAAACCCTGAATCTTGGAGACTGGAAAGATTGTTTTCCAGCAAAGCTTTAATTGATAACAATTTAGCGCCCGTTCTGCACAAAGCATGGCGTGGACTACCAACGCCAGAAAGAGCCTTGGAAAAGGTTGCCAATATGTTGTGCGAGGGTTGAGTTGAAGGGGTGTGGGAGAACTTTGGGCTGCTCTCCTGGTCCACAGCACTGAGGGTGTAAATTCCCAGTTCAGCCATGGCCCTTTAGAGGAAATTAAACAAAAATACATCTCACTCAAGCAACTTTTATAGACTTCATCATTTTGGTCAACCGGCTTCACGTAATTATCACGTAAATACGTATTTCTTACGTATTTGTTATGTAAAAATTATGTGGGTCAAAATGAGACACGTAACAGATGCGTAAAAAACACATAAAAACGACGTAAAAACGCGTAAAAATATATGTAAAAAACACGTAATCTGGACTGTTTCTGCATATCTCCAATTTGGGGTCCCTCTGGTGCAAATTGACCATTGTCAAAGGATTTAATTCTAGAGTTTAAACTCACACCCATCCTTTGAGGCACCCGGCTCAATCAGCTAGTTCTCTTGCCCACCTGCCCGGTACATGAAGCCGGCCCGAACGCTCAAAAGCAACGCTTGGAGCTGCAGTGAGTTGAAAGAAGGGAACTCTAAGCTCATGAAGGTTAAGAAGGAAGCCGTTCCAGATGAGCTACAAAAAAGAAATCGAGGATAGGTTTCTCACTGAACACTCGGCAACATGCCCCCCTTAGTATACTTTGACGGGTTGTTGATATGCAGCATGTTTAGAATGTTTGCAGGAGTCCACCAAAGCTTTGGAGGCTTTGAAGAAAAAGGCTGCATCCAAGAAAGCCCAGTATGTTTCTTGGTCGTGCACATGTTTTTTGATGTGCACACATGCCATGTTTCACTAGATGCGCGTGCATACACTCAGGCTGATGACACTGAGGACACGGTGCCTGCAACTCAAGCTGCACACCATGCACACATTGTTGTTGCACAAAATATCGCGATTGTGTGAAAGCTATTCACATCCAAGGCAACAGAAGAGGAGTTGAGGGAAGCAAAAAAAAAAGAGAGCAACAGCTGCCAAAGCCAAGCCTCAGCCAAAAGAGAGCGACACCCACGAGGACAACACACAAACAAATGCAGAAAAGGACACAGCAAAGGCAAAAAAGGAACCAAAGGCAGCCGCAAAAAAGCAAACCCAAAGCACGCCCAAAAGCGAAGTCTGCCCCTGAAAAGGCTGAAAAGCGAGCCACTGAACCGCCTGTTGAGCAACCTAGCAAAAGGGTTCGTGGGAAATCCGCAGACGTTGATGCCTTGAAAAAGGCCTGCCAAGCATGTCTTGCTAGCTGCTTTACTTGTTTAAATGCCTACACAGTTGTTTGGATGACAGTAACTTTGCTTTTGCATTTCCAGCCAGGAAAATGAAGCCATGAGGAAGGAGCTTGACAAGTTGAAAGCAAACAAGAGTGCCAATGAACTGCAAACACCGCCTCCAAAGCTCAAGGCGCCAACCCCGAAGTCCAGTGCATCCAAGGCAACCCAGCCCAAACAGAAAGCCAAGCAAGCAGAAGCCAAGGATTCAAACAAGAAAGCCAAACAGCCAAAGCAAACATCTGAGCACAGCGATGACAATGATGATGGTGATGATGACAACAGTGCCGACGAGGAAGAGCTCTTTGGTAGTTTATTTGATAGCGATGATGATGATGGTACTGCACATGGGTCTGGTGAGTCTGATGATGACAGTGCCAACGGTGAGGAGCCAAACAAGGATGCAAGTGAGGAGGAGGAGGAGGATGCGGAGGATGAGGAGCAGGATGGAAAGAAACGAAAGAAAGCGCAACCAAAAGGTAAAGCAAAGGCAAAGGCAAAGGTTTCTAGAGGTGGCAGGATTGAAAAAACAGGATGATGACAAAATGTCGGAGGCCGCCCAGGAGGCTAGGCTACGCAGACTTTGTCAGAAACGTGCCCACGGACGCTGCCACGTCCCTGATGCGATCCATGAGCAGTGGAAAGCCGGGGGTGCGGGTCGTGACGAGCTTTTGGAAATGCTCCGAACAAGCGGATTTGACAAGGACAGTTGTTTTTGTGTTGTTTTTATAATGTTTCTCTAGGATGACCACCGCTTGACCTTAAAAATTCATGGATACATGTGCACCTCCAAAGCGTTGCTGTGGGGTATCCCCCCCAAAATGTGGGAATGCGCATGCTAGGATTCCTTTCTTCGGACGGTCAGCAAGATCAAAGAGAAGATCTCGCAGCGGAGTTCGATTAAGAAACGTGGGTGGTATACAAAAGAAGGTATGAAGACCAAATTGGGTTGGAGCGCGCCACTCTACAGCTATTGGGTTGACTGTTGTTGTATGCTCAAACCCCTTTTCCTAAAGTCTGTGGGACCTTCTAATATTGAGGTCATACATCAAGGATGTTGTCAAGTACTGTGAGGAGCCAGGCCGTGAACACCTGTGGAAGAAACCTTTCCGCAACATAAGTCTAGACATTCCAACAATTCTAGGTCAAGGGGGTAGACTGATACAAGTTTCAAGCATCCCTGTTTTCATGTTTAAAAGCTTCTGTTCTGGGCCTCGGTATAAATATAACTGAGGAAAGACAAGTATAACCCAAAGCTGCGCAAATACTACGTTGAGTACGAAGATGAAGATGCAAGTGGTGATGAACACCGAGAGATTGAGCGTGAAGAGACACAAACGGCTAGAGTCCCAGTGTCTTTTACCATTTTCCTGACCTCCTGACCCGGCCACTCCCGGCCTAGGCTGACAACAAGAAGGTCAAGTTCGGGCGCCTTGGCAAGGGTCGCGAAACAAAGTCTCGGCCACAGATCGCAGAGACTGAGAGTGAGAAGGAGGATGACAAAGAAAAGAAGGCACTACAAGCCAATGGGGGTGCAGAGGACTAATTTGTAAAGGGTTTGAAGCAACCATGATTCACTCAGTGAATCAGATTCTTTTGTATGCCAAAAATCCCGGTTCATATGTATTATGGGGAGTCCTTCATGCATTGTCTCTTGTTTGGCTTTTTGCCTAGTCTTGGGTGGAGGGTCGACTACGTCAACCCTCAGGAGCTGCAGAAACTGAAGAAGTTTTCCGACGCTCTTCTTGCCAGAGCCGGTAAGCTTGAAGAGTTGATTTCTGACCTGGAGTCTGGTTTGGCAAAGAAACCTGACTTTTCAGGGAAAGATCGTCTCAGGAAGTCAGACTCTCAAATCTCACGCATGTACCAACACCTGCAAACGTGCAAAGCAACCACTTCAGTCTGTGTTCGGGCAGCCCGGCCCATTGATCGAGGTCTCTCGCCGCTTTGGAGGACGCAGTGGGCATCCTGAACAAGCAGTACGAGGACTCTGAGAGCACGAGGGCGGAATGCAGCCAGCTCAAAAAGAAGGACCTTCCTAAGGATACCTTGGATGAGCCAAAACCTTACTTGCATGCTGTTAGATGCTGAAAGGTGATGCTGTTTTGTATATCTCCATACGGAAAATATATAGCTTCTGTGGCCAGCTCTAGTTTTGAGGCTTATGGCAAAAGTTGACAAGCAAATCAAAGCCTCTACCAAAGAGTGCCCTGCTAGCAAGCATACATTAACATGCATGCGCCCAGCATGTGTCCCTCACCCTGCCTGGATTCAAGAACGAGGTGCTCCAAGGTGACCACTGCAGAGGCCAATGGAAAGAGCCTTGCAAGCATGACGCGGAATGCCTTCTTCAATCCCTGCCCTCCACCATTTGGTCCCTCCTAACACCTGATCTTCCATTAGGAACATCCTGAAAGCCTTCAAGAAGGAAGATTCGGGCTCGTGAGCTGTGAGCCACCTACGATGTGTGGTCAAGCATTTTGCTGGCCGCTCATGTTCTATAGTTTTCGGGGTTGTTGCGGTTGAATGGCAAAAAACGCCAAAAACCCAAGTTTAGCAAATTCAGTCTGGCTCGTGGACTACCACGTGCCTGTGGGAGTCATCGTAAAGGCTTAGCATGTGCTGCGCACGTGATGCTGGTCGATGCAATCGAGGGATAAAGGTCAATGAGCTTGCCACTGTAACATGGCCAATCATCTCGACCTTTCATGTGTTCCCAAGTCCGTCCCTGTACCAAAACCCCACTCCCATAAAACCCAGTGAAACAACCGGCCCTGATCAATTGACGTTGAACCTTTGCCAGGTGACCGCACGAAAGATGACAAGAAGACCTGCAATGTCCTGCGGAACTGCGCACGCTTCATCGGAAATGGGGCCGGGAACCCCATCTATCAGAGGTGCATTCGTTCATGCAAACCTCACCTCTAGATCGCAGTGGTGAAGCTCTCAAGCTGCATATTTCATGTGCATGCATTAGTAGCGTCTGGCATATTTTCTATATCTAAAAGGAAACCACAAGCACACAAAGTTGGATATTCTGATGAGCCATGGCACTGGAAGAAGAGGATGACTTCCTCTTAGATCTCCTGACCTATGTGTGCCCCGTTAGTGGCAAAAAA